GCACATACAGGCACGGGCAACCCCTTTATATGCATAAGTTCTTGAAATGTGCTCTTCCTCCCCCCTCTCCCGAAGCAGAGGCGGCAGTACTGGGGGGAGCCGGCTTGAAAGCAGGCCCTCACAGCTCCAGTTACGTGGGTCAGGGCACGGGCACAATAGCAGCGCTTCTGCTTTGAAATGTATAAGAGCTCCAGTGGGGACTCCCGTACATTTCAAGTTGGAATGTTCCGTGGAGCCTGGGGCCAGCGGATAGTTCCCCACAGACCCCAGGCTCCATGGAGGCACTTTTGTTTTGAAATGTACAAGTGCCCAGCTCTTGAAATGTACAAGAGGAAGTGCTGCATGGAGCCTGGGGCCCCGGGGCTCCATGCCACGTTTCAATCTTTGAAATGTAGAAGAGCCGCTAATGGGGCTCTTCTACATTTCAAAGTAGAAACACCCACATGGAGCCCGGAGTCAGCGGAGGACTCCCCTCTGGTCCTGGGCTCCACACAGCATTTCAATCTTTGAAATGCACAAGATCCCCTGCTGGGGTTCTTGTATATTTCAAAGTCAGAATGCGTGCTAGTCCTTATCAACTAATCAAATAGTGGATGGAAATCCCATCAATTATTTGGTTAGTTAATTTATCAATATTTAACATCCCTAGTTCTGCTCTCAGGGTCCTCTGTTCCCAGGATTTTCTCCTAAAAGAGCATCTTTTGTTAGGGATTTACTCTGAAATGTTTCTATCTAGTTTACAGTTATTTCCACGTTTCCATGATCGATTTTGGAGGGATTGTTGGTATATTTCTTCGAAAAGCTGGTATAGAGGTAAGATTGTTTCTCTCTTATAAAAAATATTTGCTCCATCCAAAATGTAATGTTCAATACAAGATCCAAGAGCAAATGACTTTTTGATCATGATCTAGATTATTTTGGTGAGTTCTTTTTCTTCAAATTATCTTGAGGATATGAGGCAGGCCTCAAACAAAAAAGATTTATAAAATTGCCATGCCATGCATTTCTGTTGTAAATCTTATTAATGGTGTGGTTAGATAGAAACAGGTGCATAAAGTAACTGATGTGCTGATTAAGCTTCACCCAATACTTGGAAAAACATATGAACTCTTGTCCATCAATAGTGTGTTTTTGTTTTTTGTTTTTTTTCCTGCCTTTCTAGCCACCTTAACACTCATTTCTTCCACTAATCCTATATGCTGGTCTTCTTAACAAAGTTAATCTGTTTTGGTCTCAGTTAGATGGTAAATTCTGCTCAATAGGGATTCTGTCCACTTATTTTTGCAGTTATGGTAGTATGGGCCTGACCCAGTGCCATTGAAGTCAAAGGGAGGGAGTCCTTCCAGTGCCTTCAGTAAGCATTGCATCAAGCCCTGTGGGAGAGATTCTGATACTCACATTTTACAATAGTTAGGACTTTATTCCACAACATCTTCACTTAAGTCAATGATGCCACTTGTACAGTAAGCTGCTACTGAAAGTGAGTAAGGTTCTCTCATCTGGTCCTTTATTATTATTATTATTTATTAATAAGAGATTTTCTCATTCTCATTTAATTTTTATGCTTTGATCGACTGTCACTTTAAAATACTTTACTTAAAATAATGTACAGCTGTATGTTATAGTACACAGGACTGTCTCTTCCCACAAGTGTAGGTAGCACTTAGCACATTGATTGACTGTCACTTTAAAATACTTTACTTAAAATAATGTACAGCTGTATGTTATAGTACACAGGACTGTCTCTTCCCACAAGTGTAGGTAGCACTTAGCACATTATCATCCATACCATAATAGAGGTAATAATAACTTTATATATCTTTCCTACAGACTATCCAATCAACTGCCATTTGAAACTGCCCTTCATATGTGAAAAATATAATGTATCCTTATTGGAAAAACATGAGCCAGAATATCACCCACCTAAAGGAGGATGTCCTAAAGATTGGATTCTGTTTCAGAACAAGGTAAAGGGGATTCCATGACAAGCCTCATTAGCCGCATTGTGTTGATCTAACTCTGTAGTGTAGACCAAGCATCACTTTCAGGCCGAAGTATTTAAACCAGATTCCTCCTTTGTGGAGGACTCTGTACCCATCCAGACCCAACCCCTCTTCTTCTTTTAGGTGTTCCACAGCTCTCTTTCTCAGTGTTGGGATCAGTTCCTTCTCCTGGAGTCATGGGTCCACAGCCTCTCTTGGGGTCTGCATTAATTCAGGATAGCAGGTGCCTTAAAACCAGCTTCTCCCCCGACTTCCTCCCCCGCTTTGTAGTTCAATCTTTTTTTCTCTATGGGCTGAAAGAGATTATCAGATGGCAGTCCTTCCCCTTCTGTGGAAGAAGATGCTGTCCTCCTTCTCCAGGCTAGTCCCACTCAGCACTACCAGGCTTCAGGGTCCTTAAAAAAATGGTTTCCATGGTTTTCCCCCCCAGCAATAACTGTCTTTGAGATCATCTTCCTCTCTCCCAGCACTTGCTTCTGACCTTCTGTAGGCCATCATCTGCTCCAGAAGTCCTAGGATTCATAAAGGAAAACAGGATTGACTGACTCTTAGTCCCTACTATCCTTAAAGGGATAGTCGCTTGGTTAAAGGCATCTTGCTGAATCACAGCCTGAATGCATTATCTATAATTGTATTTCCAATACTTTTCCACAGGAAGTGAGAGAAGTAAGGTGTGGGGATTTAGGGTCATTGAATTATGTATAAGATACATTTCAGAGAGAAAGTGAACTCCTGCTACATTGCATAAGCCTTTACCATTTTTATTTTGCAGTGTTTTCTAAAAATAGAGCACCGATTTTTAAAATTTAAAGATGCCAATGAAAAATGTGAAACTTTGGGAGGCACTCTTCCATCAATCTCAAGCCAAGCTGAACAAGGTATGATGGTAAATTCAAGGCTCTGTACACTATACAGCCCTTAATAATATGTCATGTCTCTTCCCGTTTAAGCAGAAGAACTGCACAGAATCATTCAGCAGTAGCAGTGTTAATGAGATTGTAAAAATCATTTAATTACTTGAGTCTTACTAAAAAAATTCTAAAAATTCACAACAAAATAAAAACCTATTACTAATGCCTTTAATTGTTTGCACTGTGTAAGAAGAATTCTGCCTGCTACAGAATGGGAAAGTTGTACACAGACTGGACCAAACTTAGAAAAGGGAAAGGAACCAGTTCAAAACCAATTTCTCTTTTTTTAATCCCTCTGTGTGAAGAGAATTAGAAATTTATAAAAATGATCAGAGGTGTATGAAGAGTGGAGGGGCCATGCCCTAAGTTTCTTCTAATTGCCTCTAAGCTGCGTAGCCATTCTGCTCCTATTAAACCCCAGGTCTCAAGACTGCAGTGCCTGAAACCCTGGATCTGCTGTGATGGGGAGAGGAGCCTCTGCCCACTGGCCCCAGTACAGAGCTGCCCCACACTTGCTGTGGCTGGGGGAGAGGTGCCTCTTTCCCAGCCCCCGCCCAGACATGCCAGGGCTATGGAGAGGCCCTAGACCCCAGAGGAGTTGCTGTGGCTGTGGAGCGGTGCTTCTTACCTGGCCTCAAGCTTCTACAGTGAGAGAGGGCTGGGAATAGTTTTCTGTCCCCAGACAGCCTGTACCCCCTCCAAACTCCTCATCCCTATCTCACCCTAGAGCCCACACCCCCATCTGGAACACTCACTTCCCTCTCATCTCTTCACACACCAGCCCTGATCCCCCCCTCTTGCACCACAAATCCTGTATCCTGGCCATGCCCCAGAACCTGCACCCCCGATGGAGCCCTCATCCCCCACATGCCAGCCCTGTGCCCTAGGCCTCCTCCCACAGTCTTAAGCCCTTGACCCACTCCAGCAACACACTATCCATGTGCAGAATGAATTTTGTGGTGATCGCTAATATGGATATTATGTGTTGCATATCACCTCCATATTCGAGCACATAATTCATTCCACATGTGGACATAAAAAATTAGAGGAACACTGGCCATGTCTGAAGTGGTTCCCAAACTTTACTTCAGAAGTTAAAACCCTTTTGAAGTAAATGCAGGGAAGAGAAGATATTGGCTTCAGATAGATGTCTAGATGTGTCTGACTACCTTAGTCGGGGCTACTATAAGGTGGGTGCATAACTGGCAGGATAACCGTTCTCACAGAGTAGTTATTAATGGTTCACAATCCTGCTGGAAAGGTATAACAAGTGGGGCTCCACAGGGGTCTGTTTTGGGACCGGGTCTGTTCAATATCTTCATCAATGATTTAGATACAACCTCTCCCAGGTTGGTATCATCTGCAAACTTAATAAGCGTACTCTCTATGCTGGTAACTGCTTTGGAGGATAGGGTCATAATTCAAAATGATATGGACAAATTGGAGAAATGCTCTGAGGTAAACAGGATGAAGTTTAAGAAAGATAAATGCAAAGTGCTCCGCTTAGGAAGGAACAATCAGTTTCTCACATACACAATGGGAAGCGACTGTCTAGGAAGGAGTATGGCAGAAAGGGATCTAGGGGTTATAGTGGACCACAAGCTAAATATGAGTCAACAGTGTGATGCTGTTGCAAAAAAAGCAAACATGATTCTAGGATGCATTAACAGGTGTGTTGTGAGCAAGACACAAGAAGTCATTCTTCCGCTCTACTCTGCGCTGACTAGGCCTCTGTTGGAGTATTGTGTCCAGTTCTGGGCACCACATTTCAAGAAAGATGTGGAGAAATTGGAGAGGGTCCAGAGAAGAGCAACAAGAATGATTAAAGGTCTAGAGAACATGACCTATGAAGGAAGGCTGAAAGAATTGGGCTTGTTTAGTTTGGAAAAGAGAAAATTGAGAGGGGACATGATAGTGGTTTTCAGGTATCTAAAAGGGTGTCACGAGGAGGGAGAAAAATTGTTCTTCCTAGCTTCTGAGGATAGAACAAGAAGCAATGGGCTTAAACTGCAGCAAGGGAGGTTTAGGTTGGACATTAGGAAAAAATTCCTAACTGTCAGGGTGGTTAAATACTGAAATAAATTGCCCAGGGAGGTTGTAGAATCTCCATCTCTGGAGATATTTAAGAGTAGGTTAGATACATGTCTATCAGGGATGGTCTAGAACAGTGTTTCTTAAACTTTTTGAGACCACAGAACACCAAACAATTTTTTTTTTTATTTGGCACACCTATGAAAATTTTCTTAAAAAAAAAAAAAATTCTTGTCAGAATAAAAAAAAAAGAGGTTGTGGCACACCTGCGAGTTGCTCACGGAACACCAGTGTTCCGCGGAACATAGTTTAAGAAACACTGGTCTAGACAGTACTGGGTCCTGCCATGAGGGCAGGGGACTGGACTCAATGACCTCTCGAGGTCCCTTCCAGTCCTAGTATTCTAGGATTCTATGATTCTACTTACCTACTGAGAAACACATCTGTTCACACATTTGTATTTGTGCATAGTATGTGGGTAGTTGCCTACAAATATGTCTGAAGAAGTAGCTTACAACAGAGCTCCACTTTGTGTAGCATTATTTGTATAGTTCAGTGACCTCTGGCCAAGTCAATTCAGTGCAGTGGAATATAGAATGTAGACAGAGCAGGCCACTTCAGCAATTAACAGTGCACAATGGAAGAGCAGTTTGCTACTCTGTCACAGCATTGGGATGGACCCACACTGAAACTCAAACGACTGAGACTGGAGCAATTCAGAACTCTTTTAGCCCTAGAAAACCATATAATGCTTCAAATATTTCTTAGCATGATTGTATAAATGGAAAACAACAAGTCCCATGGCACCTTAGAGACAGACAAATATATAGGATCATGAGCTTTCATAGGTAAAATCAACTTCATTTCAATTGCTTGAAGGATATTTAGCATAATTAATATTTAGATTTAGTCCTGGTGACAGATTTCTGTCAGGCAAGTCAGTGCAATGTCAAAGCTATGGTGAAAGAGACAGCTTTGCCATAACTCAGGTAACCACCTCTTCCTTCCTCCATGTCTCCTATTCTGTGGCCCTCTCTGTAGCTGACTTTCACATAGTGACTAACCCTGAGAAGTTTTAACCTTTAATGGGTTTGTCTAGTTTAGAGAAAGAGCTTGAGACGAGCCTGGAGTTAGCTGACTTATAGTGAGTAGCTAACTCCAAGCTAGCCTTTCCTAACATATAGCAAGTAGCTAGTTCTTAATGTCTTAACTAACATTCAGTGATTAATTTGTAATGAGAGGTGCTGAAGTTCAAGCAATTCAGTGCTGTAGGTTAAGCAATTATTTTATATTCATAACTGATGCAGCAAGCCCAGAGGTTCCAACGCTATGAACTCCCAACCCTAAAAGTGCAGACCTTTGCAAACCCTGCCACAAATTAAGCACGGCTCACCTCACCCAATAGTTGGCATTGCCAAAGAGAGCAAAGTGGCTGGTGATTCCTGAGAAAAAGCATTTTGAGTTGGAATTGATTCACTCTCTCCCTCTTCCACCAGACTTTCTTTGATACTTGGTGGAGTAAATCAGGCACATATTCAATAAGTGGTTCTGTTTTAGAGGCATGTATGGTCAGAGCGAGATATGCAGGAAGCAAGTAAAACTCTCCACATACTGGAGAGGGCATGGAACCTGCCTTTAATGCTTCTGCGAGGAATAAAAAGAAGGCCTTACAGAGTGGTAGGGGGGCACCTTCTTGATATCTGGGTGGAAATGCAAGGAGGCAAAGTTAATGACAGGAACAGGGAAAGGAGGAGACAAAGTTAAACTCATCCACTAGCCCTCTGTTAGACTTTCTCCTATTATTATGTTAATCCTTTCAAATGATTTTTTAAAAAATAATGTCCTTGTCCTTGTTGGATGTGGGAAGGATGGAATGATAAAACTGCAAAACACTTAATACTCTTTGAAAATTCAAGAAGTCATTTTAATAAAGTAAGGTGGGAAATGAAGTTAACGTAAATGGAGTTTGTTCTTTCGTGTTTATGCAAGTTGTTTTTCAGATGTTTACTGTGGTTATCTAAATCCTAGTACATAAATATTAATTTTTCTGCCCAACAGATTTTTTAACATCCTTGCTTCCTGGTTTGGAACAGAATATTTGGATAGGTTTGCAATTTAAATTCAGCACAAAGGAAAACCAATGGGTAGATGGCAGTAGGCTGCTGTACAGTAACTTTCACCCATTGCTGAGAGGAAGGCTAAGGAAGGTTCCACTTGATGTAAGTTACGTGTTTTGAATGTACAAATCGAGCTGATGTTCTGTTTCATATAAAGTGTCAAAGTTCTGGTAACTCTATTTAAATAACAAAACAGGAAAAAAAAATGCAAAGGACCAAGATATTGTGTTCTTAATTGGCATACATGGTGACCAGTAATAACGCTTCAAATCTTTATTCAGATTATATGTTTTGAACACTAATTATTAATATGGAAAGGGATGTAAAAATTGAAATATTTTTAAAAACTAATTATTAATATGGAAAGGGATGTAAAAATTGAAATATCTTCAGTCTCTTTGCATATCCAATATGTAGCTTAGGTGCCACATTCCATAAAAATGTAGGCAGCAGAGGGACAGTACTAATACAGCTTTTGGACAGTACTAATACGGCTGCACTGTTCCTGAAGCAGCATATGAAACATAATGGAATGTCATTGATTAACAGAAATTTGTGTTTATTTTATTTATTTATTTATTTTTAATCTAGTAGGTCCGGGTAATTTATTTCACAAAGAAACAATCGAGCAACTAGGTAACATTGCAAAACAAACTAGCTTTGCATTGTAGTTCTGTTCTGAATACCTATTACATAGGCACATAGTAACTAAGAGAAATATATATTTTCCTAACTGGATCTTCATTTGCTGTCTTTACACAAGAATGCTTGTATCTTTGAACTTGACAAGCATGTTTTCTGGTTTTCAGCTGTTTGATGAGGACGTAAACGACCAGTGTGGTGTAATGCTCAACAACCCCAACTCTTCGTATGCTGGAACATGGAATTTCTTTCCTTGTGTTCGTGAGCATTTTTTGGGTTTCTGCCAGAAGCAGGCAGGTAAGGTGGACTGTTCCCCTAAAATCCACCTGCCCAGAGGCCCATTCATTCCTGCATGGATATCATCGCCCCTCTGAGGCATAATATCCCTCTATAGGTTACCTCAGGAAGGATGTTCCATGGTGGTAGGATCCCTCTAGGGAATGAAGAATTTCCCGTACCAGCATTTTCTATGACACGATCCACAGTTGAAACACCCATTAAGAGGTATTTGGGGAAAGTCATGGGCAGCAAAGGCCCTGATAGCACAGTTCCCACGGACTCACACTGTCAGAGTGAAGGGGCTGCACCAGGACTCAATAGCTGGCATGAAGTACAGGGCATCTAAGCGAATGGATCGGATCTTCTTTGGATATTTTGGGGACTCACATAACTTGCTGATGGGCTCTATTTCTCATTCAGTGAGTAATGGAGGAAATGACTCCCCTCTTCCAGAATGTGGGCAAAACTCCATGAGGGAATCCTACAGAGTTTTAATCCCACTTGACCATCTCCTGTGAGCTTTAACACTAAAGGGGTGATATGAGCCCTTATCCACACTTGAAAATAGGCTGGATTTCAGCCACTTGTTTAGCTACATGAGTACAAACCTTCGGTATAGATGAAGAGAACTGTAATTTGCATTGGTGCAGCTTGCCCTTGCTTCAAGCCAGGGTCACCTCCACTGGCACAGTGTGTGGCTTTTTCTGTTTATACTCAGGATTGAAGAGGGGGCATTGCTCCAGTGCAGCGATATAGTTGGCTGGTCAGTGATTACTGGAATCAGGATAATTACCCAATCTGAGCAAAGCCTTAGTTACTGCTTAACTGCCAAGAGCTTAATATGCAGTGCACCCAGTTTGGGGGCATGTTGAGTTTGAGTTTATGCATCTGCCTGTCTGTCCGTCCGTCTGTGAGTCTGTTTTGCTTGTCCAAGAACTCCTCTTAAATGGTAAGAGCTAGGACCAAGAGACAGAATCACTATGCAGTTGAAAAGGGTGCACTGCCCCTCTCCACCCCATCTGTGACTGACCCACTCTCTAGACTCCCTTCCCCAGGTGCCCTTTAGATTCATATGAAGATATTGCCAGCTGTTCCCCTTCATCAGAGATTGAGGGAAAAGTGAACAATTTTCTGCATTCCTCACTGTGGCTTGGGTCCCTGATAGGGACAAGAGCAAGCAGCCTGGTACAAATCTTGGGAAGCCTCCCTCCCACCACACACACACCTATCCCCCTGCACACACACTCCCCTGCTCAGAGCCCCTCCACATCCCCAACCGTGACTACTTGTATCCTCCACACTTTCAGCCCCCTGCCGAGCCCCGCTCCAAGGACCTGAGTGACACTGGGTAAATGTGCTAGTTACATATAAATTATTCTTTTAAATAATTACAAGGGGGCTGCACCCCCTGCTCACTACACTCACCAAGCCCCCTCTTGTGGGGAGGTAAGCAACATTGGCTCTCCCACCGGTTATTGGGGAAGGCCGGGCCACAGCCACACCTGTCTGTCCCCCTTTCCCCTCCCCCACCCTTGCCTTTACCTCTTCCCCCATTCTCCCCCCAATGCACCAGCCCAGGTCCCTTCTTCTCCCACTACCTCTGCCAGCCCAGGACCTTTCTCTCCCCTGCCCCATC